TTTTAGAAAAAGTAATTTTTTAATATTCACACTTTTAGCCAAAACAACTTACATTTGAAACGGAAAGAGTATTTTTTTTCTACAATTCACATAGGCACAATATTGAGTTTGAATTTGGATTATTGTATGATGGTAGTGCTAGTACAAACAATTACGAAATTATAGTTATCAATATTACAAATATTATTATGTGAACTTCTGAATTCATACTTGTATATATCTAGTTTTAAATGAATTGATTGTAAAATTGGTCCAATAATATTAATTTCCATATTGAAAAATTATAAATGCATGCCCACGTCATCATCTTCTTCTTGCTTACCTTGAGATGCGATTGGCTTAATGTTATTTTTGGTCCACATTTGGTCCTCCACCAAATAAATGAGAACAATTATATTCTCTACTCTCTTTCTACAATTTGTATGGACTCTATATCAAGTACAAATTCTTAATACTTTTTGGCAGTAGGTGATCAATACATTGTTTGATCAAGAATGTTGTTGATAATATCAATAAAAATATTATTATAATAATTAAAAGTTTGTTTTAGGGCATCTCATTAACAATCAGTTTATATCGTACACACATGTTGTTTTCTTGTCTAAATTAGAATATCTGATGTAACAACACTAAACTATCACTAACAATGTAGATAGTATTCGACATAATCAAGTATCGCGATGAAATTTGAAAGACTCTTTGGCCTGTACACCTATTACAAATTAGAACATTACTACGAATTTCATAGTCTTGTGAATGTGATCGGTTATATTTTAAAAAATTATAATCAAATAATTAGTATCTGATCTGTTGTATATAATGTGAAGACGTTTCAAGAAAGAATAATAATTTTATTCCAATTCTTCACGTAAATATGAGATACGATATACATATTCCGATTTGCATGAGGTACTTTATTTGAGCATTTTATTCAAAACAATTACAAAAAAAAAAACCATTGAGACTATTGTTGCTAAAAAAGTAGAAATAAACTGTAAAATTATGTACTCTATAACAAAAGGGTTTAAGAAGATCATTAGGGTTTTACTGTTTTAGTCTTTAGATAGTGAGACTATGCTTTTTTTTTTGTCTTGGTCTCCAATTTGGTAAATGATCAAGTTGACCATATCCGAAACTTCCGCTCATACATCTCACGCGAGACTCGGAAGCAAAAAAAAAACAAAACCATCATCTTCATCACGAGGGATAGAAAGTGAATTGGTCTCATAACATTTTGATGATTTTTTCTATTAAAAAAAAACATTTTGACGATTCAATGCCATTATTAATCTAAAACCTACCTAATATAAGAGGTGCAAAACAAAATTTCTCGAAAAAAAGACCAGTGAATTGGTCAAAATAAATAGAAGTCTATAATTTTTAATAAGGAAACAAATGTACAAATTCGCATTTGTTCTTTTTTGCACTAATTAATTATTAAAAATAGAAGCTCTCCCACTTTTTTCTTTTCGTGAGTAGAAAGATCTAGGTGTGAATCTTTGCAAGAGAACCATTAAAAAGTTATTTATTTAACAAGGGAACCATTAAAAAGTCGCGTCAATCATTCCCTAATGAAAACAACATAACTCAATGTGTAGCTTTACTTGATTTGTTGACATTTTTTTATTCTATGCATGGCCTTTGCTAGCTAAATAATTGAAAAACGAAATTATATGATTAATCTTGTATAAGTTAGCTTTCATAGCTAAACTTTTTTTTTTCTCCGAAAAGCAGCTTTTTATATTTTCCATTGAGAAAATATTTCACAATACTGTTTTCTATAATATTTTTTATTAAATATATAATGTCCGACTATGCGTATATGCCTATTTTTATAATTAATCATCTAGTCTAAATAAATATGTTTTATATATACTCAATCTTAAAAATTAATCAGTAAATAAACACGTTGCATATTTTAGTAATTTTGTCTATCGGTTTCCACTAATATTGTTAATGTGTCATCATCTATATTCAATCATATTACAAATAATATTCAATCATTTTACCACTAAAAGAAAAGTTATTCACCATGCCTCACTTTAATAACAAAAAAAAAAAACAATAGAGTAAATTCTCTAACAAGTTTCCAAAATAAAACTTTCTATGGGTTGCTTGGTTATCAATCATGGTATCTTACTTTCCCAATGATAATTATACTTTTCTCTTTCTAAAATAAGGACCGCGTAAGAACACATTTTAATTTTTAAATGGGTATAGCAGAATTTTTCACCTTTATGTAATGTTTATGCTAACATTTTACGTAACTTTTTCACCTTTATGTTCTAACTAGATTTTGACTTCGCGGCAAGCGCGAGATTAAATAATTAAATAAATTGACTAATCGATTTTA